GGCTAACTCCTCCGGCTCGGGAAGCGTGGACGGAGGAAAACCAGGATGTAACATGGAGGCCGTGGTGTGTGTGCTATAAAACTAAGACTGTAACAGTTCATCACGAGCGCCTGGCCTGTAGCTAAATAACAGAGCCATTAGTTCATTCAGTCTGTGCGACCACAAACAGGCTCCGCCCCCCCTGCAGCAGATGCAATTATTAAAGTGAGGCTAATTTAAGTGGTGAGGCATCAACAGCATTACAGCATGAAGAGATTGTTTCCTCTAACAAAGACTGAGACTCCACATGAATCACTCTCACCTGCTGCTTTACATCAGCGCTCAGGAAAGGAGCCAATTAGAAACACTCTGAAAATAAACGGCTCGGGTGGTTTTGTTTAGAGCCAAGCAATAAGTTGTATTATTAAAGGAAAGTACAGGTTTTTTACTGCAGCTACAGCTCTGAATAAAGGTCACATGGGAGCTCTGATTAGGATGGGAAAATGGAAGAAAGTGCACCTGTAATGTGGAACAAGTATTCACATCATTCAGCCACGTTTAAGACAAATAGGAACAACTTTTTAAAGTGTTGAGATAAAAGGATAAACAGTGAGCACCACCAATCAATGTGGGGTTAGTGTGAGATACGTTCAGAAGACTTCTTCAGACTGAAGTTTCCAGGCGTGATATTTACATCTCTGTAGCCCTCTTCAGACTGCTTTTTTTCAGAAGCACGGCACAGCTGGAGCTCCACATACACACACAGTCAGACATGCACTCACACACAGCGCTGTGCTCCCCCGCTGGCTCCTCTGATCCTGCCTTTCCTCTGTAACGCCTCTGAAGACAGGACAGAGGGGTGGGGGGGGGGTCACTTCAACCTCCATTACGTCTCTGCAAACTTCAGATTGAAGGCGAAACCTCACCGGGACGGAAATAAAGTGGCTTGAAACGGCGCTCTGAAGAGGGCTTGTAGCATTTCACCTTCAATATGAAAGTTGCAGAGGCGTAATTGGGGGATGAAGTGATCCCCCCGTCATTCATGTCAATAGACTCTGCACAGCAGGGGGTCAACACAGGGGGGCTCTGACTAAACAGTCATGTGTTAAACAGCTTAAGCTGCTTAACTTTTACTGTAAAGAGCGAGGTGGAATCCTGCAGAGCTGCTGTGTTTAACCAATCAAATACATGACAGTGCTCGTTCCTGGAAGGTAACATCAGGTGTTTACGGGTCGCATAAAAAGTAGGACGGTACAGATCGGTTATTCCCAACTTTTGACAGTGGAAACACCATTTAATGATTTCATACAGAATCGAACTGAAGGAGAGGAAACAGGGCTTACTTCTATGGTGTACCTCACAATCATCCTGAAAATCATAAAAATAATTGCCATGGCGATAACCTACACTGCTGTACATGGATTGTCATCTGATATGTCTTTGAAAAGTGTTTAACTGTTGACGTCGATGTCCAATCAGTGACAAGCAATGATGATAACTGACGGAGACAGCGGAGTTCTCTTTCTTATTGAGCCATGCATACAGGGCCTACAAATCCCAGGATGCACTGCAGCTGCATTCTTACAGCCATATAATATCAGTGCATTTCCATCTAATTTCAGCAATCGGAAATTCTGAGTTTCTGGTCTGATACGTCATCGGGAACGGAAGCCGGAATTCAGAACCTTCAGTAGCCCGTTTAAATCCAACATGGCCGCTCTGTACGTCAACAGAAACGTTTAAGCTAGAACTAAAGCGTTTGTCTCAGCTTGGTTCTTTTTAGTGTAATTAAATCAATTAAATCGAGAGTATGGTGCACGTTCTATCAGCGGAAATTCGTCCGGTATTAGCTAACACAACAAAGGTACTCCCGGAGGCGTCCATATTGCTTGTCTGACTCTGTGCCAACTCACAGCTGGAATGCGGTTAACTCGGGTGTGACGTCTTTCCCAGCTCCGAGACCCGGGTACAGAGGTACCTAGAAGGCACCACTACATCCAAAAAGTCTGAATATCCAGTCAGACAAAACACTGCTTTTTTTAAGTTTTATTTTTTGGCTTTTTACGTCTATATTTTCGAGACTGGGCGGTGGATAGAATCAGAAATTGGAGAGAGAGAGAGGGGGGGAATGACATGCTGGAAACCAGCCACAGGTCAGATTCGAACCTGGGCCGTCCGCATGGAGGACTACGGCCTCCGTACATGTGGCACGCACGCCAACCACTACCAGCGCCCCGACTCAGTCTGTTGTTTTGAATCTAGTTTGAAATACGAGCAAAAATGTGAAGAAAAATCTAAGCTGAACTGAAATAGTTTGTTGTTCTTCTGCACCGACTTTGACAAATGAGGTTCTGGTGTTGAAAAAAGAGAGTTACATTTACTTTAATAAGTGACTTGTTTACAACTTCACTTCCTGGATCAGATCTCCTCACTAAAGAAACATGACTGTGAGAATTAAAATCAAAATCTCTCTCTTCAGATCTTCTTCTCGTATTCTTCCTGCTGATTTAATTATTTACGATGCGTTTCTCCACGTTTATATTCAGAGCTCTTGTTTCCGCAGCTGTTTATGTTTAAGCGACGTGTTGTATTTGTCTTCGGTTGAAGTTGCTCACAGAGATGATGGAGCGCTCTCGCCACATGAAGGAAAACCCTCGGGCAGCAGATCATGACTTCCTAACGTGTGAGTCATTCTGCTCATTAACAAACGTCCGCCTCAGCCACAGCTGCAGCTCTGGGATATATCTGCGTCTTCACCCAGTCGGTCTCACGTCGCTTCTGTTACTAACCTGTTGTCAAACACAGACTCTTTAAATATACTTCACTGGATGTGTTGTTGGTCTAACTGGATACAAGTGATCGAGACTCCTCTTATTTATTAGATTTACTTTAGGCTACTGGTTATTCCTCTGATTGGTGCAATGTGTGGACCTCAGCCTCTGATTGGTTAAAGAGGACATATTCTCCCCCTTCTCCACCTTTTCAAACAGTCCTCTGTGGTCTAAATGAAACATCTGTGCTGTGCTTTGGTCAAAATATAACATGAATCAAGCACCAGAGGAGGTTTGTGACCCTGTATAAACCAGCTCTCTCAGAACGCTCCATTTTGGTGTGTGTGTCTCTTTAAATGCAATGAGCCCCCCCTGAACATCACTCCTTCGCGAGAATGAAAATGGCGGACCTGCACAAAAGTTTTGTTTTTTCCCACTGTGACATCACAAGGAGAGTACATTTGAAAGGGAGCATTTTTCTCTGTGTTGTAAGACTTATGCAGACCACAAACAAAGGACTGGATGGTTTATTTCACATTTTATGGGTCTGTAGACACTCAGGTTACCCAAATAAATGTTCAGAAACACTGTTAAATATATATAAATATGTAATATGTCCCCTTTAACAGTCTCAACACAAGGCACCAGGAAGACAAAAAAGTAAAAATAAGACCTTTAGGTTTGTTTTTGGGATTGGTACTCCTTTATTCAGAGGTAGGACAGTAGATCGAGTTAGGAATGATAAGTGGGAAAGGAGCCACAGGTCGGATTTGAACCCGGGGCCGACCCCTTTTGAGGACTGTAGCCTCTGAGCATGGGGAGCGTGCACTAACTACTAGGCTATAGTGGCGCCCCAAAATAAAACTTTTTATGACCTTAAATTTCAAAAGAATCTAATTTGAGACTTTTTAAGGACCCGTGGGAACCCTGCATGAAAAAGTTTACTCAACACTACTCTTTTGTAGACTTGATTTATTTTGAACGTAACTTCTTTAAGGTCTACGGAAATGCAATGGGGCATGTTGGGAAACAAAATGTCCAAAAGTTTATCGAATATCGAGGAGAAAATCATCACCAGATGAGTCAACATGAGCACGATCATTAGCTGCAGCTCTGTGGGATTACACAAGGAGCTTAAAACTTTTCCTACTTTGTCTAAATGTATTTTAGTTTTGACCACATGTGCAAACTGAGACTTTATGCTGCAGCTCTGAAACGTGAAAAACTTCAACTGGATTTACACAAAAAGATGTACCAAACGATGGACACGTTAAGTGATGTATGAATATCAAATCTGCATCAATAGGTCACGAGCTGCCTTCAGGGTTCACTTTGAGGGTTTGAATCCACTTCACTGTTTCTTAACTCTCAGCCAGCTCACAATAGAAAGACATACCTTTTACTGAGGAGGGGGGGGGGTCATTTAACCCCTTCGCCCCACCTCCCGTGCCCCCTTTCACTTCATACCAAATGGTGAGTCCTCCAAGCTGAAAACAGGAAATCTCCCCCACTCCCCGCCCCCCCGCTGGGGGAGTAAATGAATTAACCTGACTGACAAAGACGCGCGATCACCTCGAGCTATGCGTCCAATTAACATGACAACGACACAGAGGCCCTTTGAGTCCCACACAGGCACCTTTTTACCCGGACCAGGGGCTGAAGGACCACATGTCAACAGGCCGAGAGACGAGCTTAAGTGACCACAGAAACTTACCAGGGGGAGAGACACCCCCCCCCCCCTCCCCCCTCACCCAGCCTCCCCCTCCTCCATAAACCACTTTTCAACATTAACAGACGCATCAAACACGCACTTCTAAAAGCTAATACACATTTCTCCAGCCAAATGTGGTTGAAATGAATTCTAAAACGTTTTAAAATATATAATTAAGATGAGCTTTGATCATTAACCGTGACTCAGGAGGATGTGCCTCCTAAAAAAAAAACAAGCCTTTTCCTGCAGACTGGAGATTAAATCTGCAGCTCTAATTGGTCTCAAACAAACTCTGAGAACTTATTCAACTTCACTGCAACAAAGAAAGGCGATGGTAAAAGCTGTTTGTATTGTGTAAGAGCATCTGGAGGCACGGCGAACACACAGGAATGCACAGAACTCGTTTTTACGCACAGATGAACGCGCAAAAATGTGCAGAAACTTCACTTTGAATCACTTTTTTTTTTTTTAACTGTGGTGCAGTGCCTCACATCTCAGCGTTATCTTGATTCTGTGTTTGCAGTGTGACTGAAACTCACCTTCACATCTCAGACTTGGAAACAAGAAAAGCATCCAGAGAAAAGTCCACGGGACGGAAGCCATGGCGTCAAAACTTCTCTTCAATGAGCAGGAAAAATTCAAACAATCTGACTAAAAAGAAAGTTTCCTCCAGTTTTGGGAGCTGAAGTTTGCTGCTGGGTCTCCTCTTGTTCTTGTTTTCCAGCAGCCCGCAGAGAAAAGCGCTCTCTTCTCAGGATCCACACATGGAGGTGCGGGACGGATGCGGGTTCAGGGAGGAAAACAAAGCCACGTTCATCCCGGTGCAATCCTGCAGAAACCCCGAGCGCGAGAGAAAGAGAGAGAGAGAGAGAGAGAGAGCAGACCTGCGGATCCTGAAGTTTGCTTCTGTCCTCGAGCTGAAAAGAAGGGAGCGTGGAAAAGTGGAGCGGACGCACGCGCTTACTTAAAAACACGCGCAACGATAAGCGCAGGGAGGTTTTTGGAGAGAGCGCCATCTGGAGGCCGGAGCGGAAACGTCGCCATATTCTGTGTTCCTCAGCCAAGTATCCTCTTTACATGACACTTCAGGGTGAAAAAGAGTAAATCTGAAATGATTTGCTTTAATTAAAAACAGTAAAAACATAAAAGTCTCACCTCTGAAATTAATCTGAAAAATAGAAGAGAATGTACCACACCAATGATGCAAACTGTCCCTTTTAAAGACTTCTCTCTCCTTTGAGTTTTCTACTAATTGAGGGTGTTAGTATGTTATTAAACTAAAATGCTGCAGCTCATAAAGTCTTATTTGTAATATATTATTAGAACTTATTTGTCGTCTTGTATTATTAATCTGAATCTCTAAAGTTACTAAAGTTTTGGGGCGCTGGTGGAGCAGTGGTTAGTGGGCGCATATGGAGGCTGTAGTCCTCTAAGCGGGCGGCCCGGGCTCGAATCCGGCCTGTGGCTCCTGAAGGTGAACGTCACAGGGATGTAAATATCGCGGCTTGAAACGGCGGTCTGAAGAGAGTTAAAGTCACTGAATTTGAAGTCATATGGGGAAAAGTTATACGAGCACTTGGCTTATAAAATAATCTGAGTAACTCTGCCCGTCTAGAAGAGATAGAGTGGGTCCCAAAAGGTCAGTACACGGTAAGGTCCCCACATACAAACAAGCACACACACACACACGTAATTTAAATTAGATATATTTACATTTCATAATGCAAAGTGGTCAGAGAAAATACTTCAGAAAAAAATCAGAAATAGCATCGACTGAAAAAAAAACAAAGAACAAAAAAATTGAGGTGTAAAAAAAACAACTGCGAATAAAACCACAACCCTGATGTGCAGCTCAGGCGTTAAACCGCAGACATTTTAAATAAAGTAAAAAAAACAAACAAGAGAATGTGTTTTCTATTTGGTCATAAGCAACGAGTCATTTAGTCTGTGCAGGTCAGTTCAGCGTCTCTGTACTGTCGTTTCATTATGATTCAAGGCTAACGGAGAAAACGTACATTCATCATAACACACGACATGTCGGAGCTGTGGTGCGTTTATGGCACATGATGCACGAGAGCAAAGAGAAATAATAATCAAAGACGCAAAAAAAAAAAAAAATCAAATCTAGAACATACAATGTGTAAATCAATGGTGATCCTCGTGACACATTCAGGGTGCAGCGCTCACAGTCTGTAAATAAGAGCGTCAGGTCCCTCCTGCCCTCCTGAAGGGACTCCTGCTGAAGCTCAGGTGTTCCTGATGACATCATCATCACTTAATGAGAGCTGAAGCTGCGTCTCTGATACAGGTGACGGCCTTCTGGATGTCCTCGTCCGTCTGCTCCACCGTCACCACCACCCTGATACTGACGACGCACACAGAGGAGACACAGCATCAGATGCACAGACTGTTTCAACATTACACCGCTAAGTATTTGAATTTCACAGTTTGGACAAACACATAAATATGAAGCTTTTTTACAGGACGCAAGGAACGTTTACATGCATTCCAGTCAGACTTCCTCTAACTGGATGTAGATGTACTGAGGTAGAGTCTCTCACCTGGGTGGGGGGAGAAATCGCTCCTCTTTCTCCAGATAACGAGCAAGAGTCACAGCCACATTTCTTTCTAAACACTGAAAAAAGAAATACAAGGAGCTCTGCTGTGAGACAATCAAGAACAAGGCCAGATGTTTATCACCTTTATCATCTAGAGATGCAGGGAAATCTTTAAGGTTTGTGCACAAATTCATATCAAATATAAGCTTAAAAAACATTAAAAACTACAGGTGATGATTTTTGGAATGACTTAAAGGTAAGGAAATATGTGACAGTCTTTTAAAGTAACAAAGAGATTCATCTTCATTTTATAAAATTCTACATCTTTGTATGTTTTACAGAAACAGAGACGGAGGACTTACATAATCTACGATGGAGCGCAGCAGCTGCATGTCTGAGTCTCTGGATCCAGAACTTTTCTCCAGCTGCAAGTGAAGAGCCGGAGCCAACGGGACACCCACTAACTTCACACCTGGAGTCCTGTACCAAAAAACAAAATACTGATATGATATAACGGCCACATACTGCCTGAACAGAGAAGGTAGACGGTTTTAAGGCACCCCCACACGGCCGTTTTGGACGCCCCTCGGTTTGCCAGATATGAGAGCAGTTATCAGGTCAAGCCAACAGGTGTTGTAGTGATGGAAGCAGCAAGAGAAGTGGTTCAGATAGAAGTGATTGTACCCGACTTAAAAAGCCTCTGCATGTTTCTAATAAGCTCCATGAGCAGAAACGTGCTCAAACTAGGATCAATATTGAAGATGCTTTTGAAAAATGGAGAGAGGTTAGAACACAGAAAGGTTTACAGACCGATGCAGAGCTGGATAAACACTGAAGCTTCAGTGTCACAACATGGTGACCTGCATGAGCATCGACTCTAGAGAGGAGGGGGGAGACAGATCTCTACAATGTTTAGAATTTAGACTGCAGTACCCATTTTAAACACTAGATGTCAGGGTTACATATAATTATGGGAACAATTATCCTCTGTAAGTAATGTCTTCCTAAAGTGTTTTATCAGTAGATGGACAGGTGGATTTTATTGTAGTATGTGTTTTGTTATGTGAATAAATGAAAGCAGAAAATAGAGCTGTGTCAGGGATAAGATGGGCTAGCAATTAGGTCGCCCCCCTATGTATGGAGAGCTGCCCAGGTTCGAGTCCGGCCTGTAGCTCCTTTCCCCACTCTCTCTCTCCCTGGTTTCCTAGTCTATCTACTCTCCTTTCCAAAAGAGGCAAAAACAAAGACTTCAAAAACTGTTCCTCCTGACCGTGCACATTAAAATCAGAAATACTCTTGCACAGAGAAAATGGATGATTCTGCATTGTCTGTGCAGAAAGCATAAGTGAAGCTAGAGTAACCCTCTTTGACGTTCCTTCTTCGGTCGACAGTTGCAGGCCGTTATCACAGAGACTAGAGCGCACATGAACTCACCCCTGTAACGCCTTGTGAACATGTTGCACTTTTCCCTCAGGACGGTAAAAATATCTGAAAAACAGAAGAAAATATATCAAAGAGTGTGAAAAGACATGAGTCTTAGAATAAACGATATTTAGAGGTGAAACCAGGAGGAAGCCCGTACCTGGATCCTCCTCCATGATGCTGAGAGCCTCGATGGCAGCAGCAGCCAGCATGGGGGGCAGAGAGGCGGAGAAACAGTAACCCTGACCCGACAGACGCTGAAAACCAGAAGAGACATGTATACTTCATGAAACTGTACCGCCATATCACAACAGACCGCTAAGAGAGTAAGACGTTTCCACACCAGCTTCATCAGTTTGTTAGTCTTTATGAGGAGCAGTGATACAGAGAGACAGTGATTTCTAACATGTTTTTTTTTTACCTGGTGGTCGATGACAAAGGAGCGTCCGCAGCAGAATCCCCCGATAGAGGCCACAGCGTTCTCCATGTTAGCACTGATCAGATCAATGTCATCAATCTGCACCGTGACCAAACAGAGCCACGTAAGTATAATCACATTCATGTTTATTCAGAGCTCTGCACGTTTTTTTTGTTTTTTTTGAACACAAGATACACAGTTGTTGGCGTAATCCCTGGAAGCGGTTTCCTGCAGCTCTGAACGAGACATTACGAGAATTTGGCGAGACATGGCCAGAAACTGACACCAGGTTCTGCTAAAGTATCAGAACTGCCCCCCAGCAGTTCTTTCAAGGACACGCCCACCTGGAGGACCACTCAAATTTCCCTGCGACTGCAAACAGAGCTGGCCAATCAGAGGACAGTTGGGAGGTGGGGAGGCAGGGTCTTAAAGAGACAGTAGCTGAAATGAAGTGTTTCAGGCAGAGGCTGAAATGAGGGATTTTCCTGACACCAGTATCAGATAAAGAACGGGTTTTTTTTTGAGCTAAGCTTCTCACAAAGCGACTCAACAAGAGTCCCAGACTGACATCATGAATGGTGACAGTGAGGATAATAGCTCTCCTTTAAAATAAATCTATAGGAAGAAGAAGTATTATTGTAATCAATCAGATCTTTACAAAGAAAACAGTGAAAACCTGAATAGATTGAGCTTTCACAGAGCAGATATACTTTAAAATAGAGACAAACTTTAAGTCGAGTGTACTCACGTTGACCCCGAAGTGTTCGGTGACTCCTCGGCCGTGTTCTCCTAAAACCCCAAACGACATGCTCTCCTCCAGAAAGATCCGCACCTTGTACTTGTACTTCAGCTCCACCTGCAGGTGAAACACGATGCATGAGCGCAGACACCCACACTCATGACAGCACTGCCAGAAGTGTCAGATTTAAGTTAAGATGCATAAACCATCTGAAGTTAAAAAACTGAGAGAGCTCGGCGAGAAAAACTGTGGCAGACACTGAATCAAGTCTGTGTGTACCGACTGTGTCCCTTGTCTGTCTACAAACCCCACAATCATGAGAAAAGTCCATCCTCTCCTTCTTCTGCCTGCTCCACTTTTCAGAAAATGTGTGCTCAAACAGGCCGTTTGGAGATTTTCCCTTCATGACATCACAAAGGGCAGTAACCCCTCCCCCAGGTGGGTGACACTCCCACAGCTAGGTGTTTGTTCTGCCCTCTGAGTCTTCCTTCTCACCGTAAACAATAGGACATGGAGCGAGAAAGACCGAGCCACCCAAGCCCTTCCAGAGAGGGGGCGTGGTCAGACACAGCCCATTTACATTTAAAGGTACAGAGGATATGGTGTATCAGAGATTTAAAGGTTGTGCATGCAACAGTTTATAATCAGTGTTGCCTTCCTGAAGGACAATAAACCTGGACAGTCAACAAACAAAGGAGATTGTGTTTATTTCATCGTAGAGACATGATCTCTTAGATTTTGATTTACCAGTTCAGGGAGCGGACAGATGTCAGCGGTGTTGATGTACAGACCCTCCGCCACAATGAATTTCCGGGTCACTCGAGCTTTACGTGGATTCTGAAAGGTAAACAAAAAGTTTTTGTATATGACACTCTGCAGTTCAAACATTCTGGGCCGTATTTATTCACCGTATTGGTCCGAATATAAGACACCCGTTATTAGAAGATGACCCGCCAATCAAGATAAGTTTATGAAAAAAACTTTGTGAAGATCACAGTCTCCCCCTGGTGTCTCCTGCTGACACTGCAGCTGTGAGTGATTCCCCTCTCTCTACCTGATTGCCGACTCTATCCACTGTCCTGTCTCTCGAATAAAAGCACAAAAAGCCCCAAAAATAAATCTTTAAAAAATAAAACAAGTCTAGACCCTGAAGGTAAAAAAAACGTCTTATATTCAGACTATCACGGTAATAGCACAGCTCACACTGTTCTGACCTTCTGGTCCTCCAGCTCCTGCTCCTTCAGCAGCCGCTCCAGGTCCTCCATGTCGTTGTGTTTGAAGTATTTGATGAAGCTGCGGGACGCCTGGAGACCCTTCTGGATGGAGAAACAGGCGGCTTCATCCCTGAACATCAAAGGAAACGTTGTAAATATTTAAAAGGTGTAAACATGATGCAGGCTGCAGCTGGTACATGTGTCTCTCTGGATCCGGTTATGATGCTGCTGTGAACACGTCTGTCCTCCTGACTCACACAAAGATGATGTCTCCTCTCTTGGAGTACGCCGGGATCGCACTAGCCACGGTTGCAAAGCCGTACGAATAGATGATGGCTTCTTCAGTTTTCATGAACTTGGCCAGACGGCTCTCCAGCTCCAGATGAACGTCTGGAGGAGAGAGACGAGAAGGTGGTTAAAAACAGCCATCAGTCACACAGGAGCTCGCCATCACAGGCGCAGTGTGTGAGTGTGTGAGGGAGAAAGACTGTCAATAAGGCCCGTGTCCACATGCCGTTTATTCTGGGACAGAAGAGCGATGACTGTGCACTCTGGAGCGCTTGCATAAAGCGTTTGTGCACCGAGACGAAAATAGCTGCACGACCGCCCTATCGCTATGACAACAGTCTGTTGATAACGCCCACTGTACGATGGACACTGCTCCGTTACTTTTCCTTGATTGTTTTTATTCGAGATCGTTTTGACCCAGCAGCCACGGAGCGAGGAGGATGTGGGTACAAGACACGATCTGTCGAAAAATACGGGGAATATCAAACATCTGGAAAAGAGCGCCGGTGATGTCAACAACGCCTTTATGAAAAAGTTGAACGATTTTCAACTTGAAGCCATCGGAGCGGCTCAAAATCGTCTCAAAGTTTAAATATCTGGTATCCTGACATCCAGTGCCAGCTGTTCTCAGGCCCGGCCCCCTCTGACTGACACTGGAGACTAAGCATCTTTAGAAACATCTGCTTGACAGCCTCTGTGGTTTCTATCGTCTATAAATCATGTGGCTGCAGACGGAGGAATTTTAATTAGAATAGAAAAAAAAGATAGAGAGTTGTTTACTCACCAAACGTCCCGTAGAATCCTCTCGGACCACACGTACCAACGCCATATTTCTTCAGGGAGGTCAAAGCTTTTTGCTGTGAGGAGACGAAACAAGAATTTAACCTCTTAATGATTATTTCACTGAAGTAAAAACAACACAAACACAGCTGGTGATAGCATCAATGTCAGAAGCTGACCTTGACCCGCTCGTTGTCGAGGAGACCGAGGAAGTTAAAGGATGCAAAGTTGATGCACTCTTTTCCATTTATGATGATGTTATGGCTGGGAGGTCTGCAGAGGAAAACAGGGAGTTTAAATCCAACATCAGTTTCTTTTTCTTTTTGCTGCAGCGTTTCATGAGCTGGAAATAATAATGATTTAACACAAAACACTCGGCTGAACTGATCTGGTGTCTTTTGATACTTTTGGATCTGCACGAGAACAGAACTGAAAGTCCTCAGGAGTCTAAACGGCCTTTCAGATAGGACGCAGTGCGTTCCACAGAAGATTGGACACATACAAACATACTGTGCATCCAAAAGGTAGCTATTTTCCCGACTATTGTTTCATTCACTTAGCAACGTGCATCGTTTTGCCCATCTGCGCAATGCCCTACTCCACCATGTGCAATTAATGAATTATAAATCGAAGGCTAACACTCTGAGCTACAGGATCGTTTTAGTTTCTATTCTCTCCCCTGCAGCTCCGACGTCAAGAGCTGTCTGCCAGAGCACATCGACTTTTACCCTTATTTACATTTTATTTTAAGCAGTTAGAAAGAATCCATTTACTCAAAGTAACTGAGCGTTATCTTAAAGCAGTGAGTGAAGCAGAGGGGGCCGGGGTTCTGTGTGGTTTTACCCAGTGACGACGTCATAGTTGAGGGAGGGGTGGTCTTTAGAAACAGGAGGAACCAGTGGCTCCGGCTGCCACTCCTCAATCAGGTCCTCTTTTTCCTGAAGGCACATGACACAGCTGCTCAGAGACAAACACACTTAAAACACACACACACACACTGCTGTTTGTTTGTAACTCTGCGGCGCTGCGTTTACCTTCTCTGTCAGTCTGTAGGTCTCGGGGAGTTTGTAGGTCTTAGAGAAGAGGAGTCTGATGATCCACAGGATGAGGATCCCCTCCAGGATCAGGTGATACGCAGGAGCCTGAGGAGGACAGACACACAGGAGGACACGGACACACACACCAGGGTGTTTGTTGGTTATTACTGATAACTTTACTCGATGCACAAGTTTGAATCAAAGCAATAAACTAAAACGTGTATCGTCATCCACACCAAAACTCCCTGAACATGTGCAGAGCTGCGTAACATAAGCACTCATGTTGTCATGAGACCAGATTTGTAAACTTTGATACGATTGTAGTAAAAAATCTAATTATATCAAGTAGGAATGTATCGATACATCGGTATCGGCCGATATCAGAGCTGTTGACAAGACATCTGCAAATAATGCAACATGAGCAGAAAGGTGACAATAAGTCAGCAGGACAGTTTCTCTATTTAACCTCTAAGACCATCAAACTGTTGTGATTGTTTGTCAAAGCACTTTGTAAACCTGTTTTTAAAGATGCTATATAAATAAAGTATTATAATGGAAATGACCTGTATCTGTTGAAGACATCAATAAGTGTATTTCTGTACAGGTACAGAGTGAACTTGAACTCATCATCACACTAACTATGCAGCAATGCTCGACTTCACGACAGATAGAAACACTTTTAACTTTACGGTAGTTTAAGTTTTAACGCTGAATTACAACACCAATACGTGTTATATTATTTCCCACTTATATGTTGAGGTTTAGGAGAAACAGCAGCTTTCTAGTGATCATTAAACGTCCATGTTCACGTTTGAGAGGGAGAATCTGTCAGACGTCCCCGGGACACGGACGTTACTTCCTGATTGAGAAGTTTACATTTATCGTTTCTCGGTTTATCCGTGAATACAAACATCACCGTGAAGCTGAACACACGGATAGAGTGTTGGAAGACTTCATAAAATGATTTTACACGATTTAAGTAAATAGGAGGGAAACTTACTTCGTAAAACGCCTGAACCATTTCCACCAACACCCATTGCTGCCCGGACGCCATGTTTGTTTTCCTGCTGCAACGTCATCCGCAATGCTGCGTTCGTGGACCACAAGAAAAATAATACATTTTAGCATCCGTCCGTAAAACTTCATCAGGCCTAAATTTACTCCCTGATTCCCCCTTTTTTTTTTGACTGGACGATTTGAAATTCAGACGATTCATTGAACAGGAGGCCAGTCTCACTCCTTTTTTATTATCAGTGGCACTAGTGGAATTAACCTTAGTAATATCCCCTGCTGCGATATATATCAGAAACAGTATTTAGTAAGCGTCTTTGTTAACCTTGAAAAGGTGCTTGACACCATAAACATTACCATACTTCTTAAAAACATATCAAATCGTTTGTTTAGATAAATAATATAAAATCAGAAACATGCAATATTAAGTGTGGGGCACCCCAAGGGTCGGTCCTGTGCATTGATGATTTTGTTAATGTATCCAAACTGCCTAAGTGTATTCTGTTTGCGGATGATACCTGCTTATTTTATTCTATGAAGGCAGAGGGCCCATAAACAGTACTTGTGGTGATAATTCCCATTAAATGTTAATTGGAGCAGCGTCTGGTGTGTCTCTGTCTTTTGATGTTTTTGTTTAGCACCCAGTACTCCACTTTTCAGATGTGGGTGTGATTAACCTCATCCCCACTGCAAATGGGGATTTTCCCTCAATGTGTTTTCCAGGGGTTTAGATAAAAGATACTGATAATGATGTATTACACCTTCAATCGATTCATATGTTGTTTCTCGGCACATCATTCAGGACACTACTTTTAAATCATCATAATTTGCTCTTTAGCTGCTCACCAATGATTAGACTGCTTGTTTTGGCAGAATACAGCACCAATAAAACATATATGTGAGGCTACACACAGTTTAAAATGATGACATGATGAGTCAGGGAGGAAAAGTTCATAAAATAAGACTTTATTAGAGACGCCAAGTCACAGAAACGAAAACATCCTCATTATTTCCAAGAGGAAACTGTGGCACTGAATGAACAAAACACAAAAACAGAAATCTGTATAGAGGCTTCTTTGTCTGAAAGATTGTCTGATTGTGACACTTAAACGATTGTGAACTTTAAATTAAACATTTACCGATCGTCAGACAGCATCTTCAGTCTTCTGTCTTTTCAGTTTTACTTCAGCCGCTGGAGGATTACTTCAACACTTTTCTATCTTTATCAAAAACGTAAAAGTTTAATGGACTTTTAATACATGTTGATTGTTTTTTATTGCCAATATCAAAACAGATTTAATGAAACACTGCTCTTTTGCTGCCTCTAACAGCCTGTGGACCGATTTACATGCTAAGGATGGTTGTACCAAGAACAATCCAAAGGGTGAGACATTAAATAGACACTCCAGAGCCTCGCTTCTGTTCCGCTCCCCTCCCGCGCCAACAGTGCTAAATAATAGCTTGATATGGACCCTCACATTACAACACACAAACCCTCATAAAACACAACAAATCTGCTCGTCCTGCTGAATGGGAAAACTACAATCAATATCAGCGGGGCACTCGACCCGTAACTGTCTCATACCAGTTAGCTCGCTAACTAGGTTGTCCTGAGTGGAAGGTGTCAGCTGAGCCAGGAATACACGGTAGGATTGGAAAAATGCTGTTCACACTGCAAGAGTAAATAGTTTATAGGCTTGCCACTTTGGGCATGTCAGAAATTCATCTGATTGGTTGGGAGCAGTTGTTTAAGCTGTGATTGGTCCTCGCGCCTCTCTCTACACGGAAAATGACACGCGGTGGAGTTGAAATTTGCATCGACTTCAAAATCAGCCATACAACTCAATTACCGGGTCAGATTTGGGCTGAAAACTCAGTGTATCCCCGGCTTCAATCAGCCAGACTTCTTAAACTGACTTGGCCTGTGAATAAGTGTTCATGCTTTATATTCCTTTGTCTTTAATAACGTTCAGCTATGCACTTAGCCAAGTCTGAGCTAACAGGATCACTTTAGCTTCCTCGCTTGCTAATGCTATCGCTAATAAAACACTATCCTCGTGGAAAAGTCAGATCTGGACAAACTGACTTCACCAGCTGTTGTGAACCATGATATGACCATCAGTGTTGAAGAAGGTGAAGTTAAAGGAACAGGTGTGTATCTAATGTGATGATGTAAATCGCTACCTGTCTCATCAATGTCACCTTATTGGCTGATGTAATATCGTTCTTATAGAGTGTGAAGAACGGGGATGCTGATTGCAGTTCACTTAATGGCCACCTGTGGCAATGATACATTTTTTAAAACTCCACCAAGTACCTTTGAATTGGACAAATATCAAACAAACAACATGATGATGATAAGGAAACATTCTGCTAGCTGTCCTCTAGAGTCACTTTTTGATTCATGGCAGGAACTCTCTGGATGGTTTGGCAAAAACAAGATAAAGAAATGGCGCCCGCCACATATGAGAGATCGTTAGAGAGGAGTCAACATGTAACCACGCAGCTTTATGTCCGCAGGATGGAGCCTCAATGAATTCAGATTAGTAAGATTACATATTTCTCTCGCCACAGAAACACAAACACACACGAACAGATTGCGTACCGTAGAAGACGCACTGCTCAGCAGCCGCCTTGATTAAATACTGACTTCACTGTTTCACTGAGTCGTACGCTGAATACCTGCGACGCGTTAGAGCAGCATGTTGGGTTTAAGCCTCACAATGTTTCTCCTACAATATATTAAGATTGTCAAATATTTCCACCATCTGTTTTAACATTTTACAACCTGCGTCATTTTAATGACTGATGGTATCGAAAAGAGTCACAGCTTTAAATAAGACTACATCAATTTCATTAGAGGGGTGAGTAGAAGGGGAATGAATCCACCAAAAGTAGCAAACAACTTCACACCGTCTGAATTGCACAAATACATTGGCAAATATTTGTGTAATTCAGACGGTGTGAAGGTGTTTGCTGGCAACTTTTGGTAATTGAAAACAGAAATGATCCAATATTCTGCCTGAGACTTTTATTTATTTTGCCCTGGTATTGAAACAGGTGTCGATATAGTTCGATCTGTACTAGTATCATATCTGATTTTGAAGTCTACCATGTGTCTTCCATTTGATTTTTTTTTCTGAAATGAATATAAACTGGTTGTAATCACCAATCGAGTCATTTGGGCAATACTACTTATTCTTTGGGTCATTTTAAAAATATTTCCGAAGCTGTGGACTACCAAAAGTAGCGTGGTCAGATGTATAATTAAAAATATGACGCTGGTAAAAACTCAGAGTTAACCCAAATCCTAAAGAACTGGAAAAAGGTCCCAAAGCTCTTTAACTGCATCATTGGCACTGTAAATAAAACATCAGGAAATTTGTAAAGCTGAAAAGAACAGGACACTGTTCAAAGTACCAAGAAACAACCACTGTGTTTGGGTCAGTGGTCTCCCAGCTGGTTTGGAAATGGATACACTAGCTGACTTCCGTTGTTTGATGCAGGTTATCTTAGACTCAGTTCTGCTCTGGCATTATATTGTCCCATTCCTTCGAGGTTAGTCTTCCTGCAGTTATGTTAGTTTGGTTTAATTGGTTTGGTCCATCTCTGTTTTGGATTGGAAAGTCTTGGTTCCTTCCAGGATTTAATGTTCCGCCCTATAAGGACCCCTGTCCGGCGCTTCTTCAGCAGAATTGAGGTAAACTTGCATTAACAGTGCAGCGGTGTTGGAGTGTCAGGATGAAGTTCTGTTATACCCCACCTCTATGTGCTTCTCCAGCCACAGCTCGGCTAGCTGCATCGTCGATGCAAACGTACTCGCTTTGGACCCAAGGCACATCTTGTATTGCTTCTGCTCCAGACTTGAGTTGCAGTGGACGGGATGATAAACGTGAACGATTCCTGGTTCCTGACTGCGTAACACTTTTAAACCAGAATTTATCACTTTGGTGAACAAGTCCACGTCTTCCAACCCCCAGCCGAGGATCGAGGTGTCAAAACCTCCAGTTTTTAGTAAGTCACTCTTAAAAACACAGGCGATCCCGAAGCCGTAATCCCGCCAGAAACCGCTCTTCTTTGTGAGCACAAACTTGCTTTCTCTTGGGGTTCTCTCAGGATAGACTATTTTTGGATTGTACTGACTGAAGACGACAGGGAAGTAGACCTGTCGACCTTGAACAGTGTTGTCTCTGCAGCGCTGCAGAGCGTCACCATTAAATATAAGATCAACATCACAGAAGAAGAGTAGAGTGTTGTTATCCAGCTGTGCAGAGCCCAGCTCCAGAGCTAAGCCTCTGGAAAAGTTCCCTGTCATGGGGATTATGGACAGGTCAGCTTTGGGATACTTCTTGTGATAGTCTTTGATTAACTGAACGTGTCGTCCTCCGCTCGGATTGCTCTCCCCGTCCACCAGGATGAGAGAAAGCTTTACATTTTGTTTGGGTATCAAACACACTTTCTCAAAGTTCTCCATGAAGCGCATTAAAGTGTCGTAGCGACCGGACAACGGGACGAGGATGTTGACCTTCCTCTGACTCTGCTCCCACACCTCTGCGGTTGATTCGTAGACTTGGAAAGGTGACAGGAACTTCAGAGAGTTGGGCAGGAAAGACTGGGACTGGGACTCAGAGTTGATGGCGGCCACGAGTTCAGACACATCCAACTCTTCGGTTTCTGTAAAGAAGGGTCGGCTGAAGGACTGCTGAAGGTAAGCGTGTCTCCTCACGGGCACAGTTATCTTGCGTCCTTTATGTTTCCTGTACAGAAGCAGTAAGTCTAAGATGTATTCTGCACCGTGTATTGGATCCACCCTGTAGTATCCATACTGGATCTCTTTGAAGTCAATAACACGACCACGAGTTTTTGAATTCTCATTAATCATTTCCATGACCTGCAGGATAATGTCTTCAAGAGCGGTCCGGAAAACGTTCCCAAGGTTGTGCCGAGACATCTTGTTCTCGACAGCAGAGTAAATATGGCGTCCGGTCAGGAAGTCCCACTCAATGACATCACTCCTCTCGTTGGGCCGGTAGAGCATGTAGGATGGGGGGGATCCCAGCTGCTGGTCCTCCCACAGGACTTCTGTATCGCTGAGATGACTCATGTCCAGGCCTTCGCGGTGGAGCAGGATGGTGCGGTACCGGAGTCTGGAGATCTCTCGGCTCAGCATGAAGTTGTGGAGTCGGTACTGGAAGGCGGGGTTTTTGTTCGGGTGGAGTGTGATGGCGTTGTGGATTTTGCTACTGCGAAGATCCTCAATGAAACCTTTCTTGTTGCGTTCGTAGTTCTCATAGAAGAGCTGCTGCATCTGTGAAGAAAGAAGCCATGACATGAGAACAAGACCATCGAAGACGTCCAAATACCTGAACGAAAAAGTATTTTTACCGTTTTAATCAAACTCAATCGCTATGAACAGATAACTAGTTGAAACCATTTACAGTGAAACCTTTCTTTTGCTCCTTCAGAGAAGCCTCGCATTCCTTCTCTGTCACTGTACACAGGGTCCATGGGACTCCAGAAATGTTAATCATCACTGAGTACATTTACCTCATAAGACCAGACACACTGCGTTCCTCCGAAGCGTCTCACACAGCGGCCCACCTCCACATCCTCGTGTGTGGTGTACATCTCCCTCAGACAGGTGCTGATATGAGGGACCATCCTGCGGAGAACCTCCCTGCTGAAGATCATCCCGGGCCCCCCCATGCAGAAGTTCTCTCCGGGCTCCAGGGCCAGTCTGCCCAGCTCCTCAGCCATCCCCAGACCGGTCTGACCAATGTACAGAGGCTTACTGCTGTTCAGAGACCGCAGGAAGAGCTCCAGCTTCTCACCTAGAAAAGGGTCGAAATCAGACTTGAATATGACACAGTTCTCGAGGGCTGAATAAGGTCTGAAACATCTGGGAAAAAAATTCAATGACTGTTACTTAATGTCTCTGTCTTTTGGATAATTCTCTAGGACTAGAAGTAAAAACAATCATGAAAAGTACACACAGACGCTATTAGACCTTCAGCCAAAGTGTTTGGGGAAGACCGAGGTCTGAAGAGAGGAAAACTTCAGTCAGCTAGAGACCTGCAGAGACTCCAGGACACAGTAGCCGCATTGGCAAGCTAAGAAAGTCCTGCCTCTCAGATGAGTTCACATTTAATTTGGATTCTTTAAGGCAAACTAAATATGTATTAACTTGTCATGCTGAAGAAACACATTATAAAACAAATGCCTGAAAGAAAATTTCATCTTTGCACTCTGTGATTAACAGCATGCCTCATGAATGTCCGTGCTTCAGCAAGCTGTTTTTCTCTCACTGACACACACACACACACACACACACACACACACACACACACACACACACACACACACACAAAAACATACAAACTGTAGCCATCTGATTCCAGGAATAGTCACCTCTTATATAAACATCATCGTCCGCCCTCATGAACCACTCGTATTTATCCAGGTAGTGGTCGTGGATGTACTTCAGCATCATGAATGACTTCTTCTGTGGTGGATACGCGTCATCCACACCTTCCAGAGAAACCACTGGGAGGGGGCCGGGCGCGTAGACGGTGCCAGACCCTGCGCTCGAGAAGAACTCCACCTTCCCAGGTATGGAGCTCACCCAGGTGTTGTACGCAGCCACCGCACGAGACCGCAGGTATTTCTTCGCTGTCATCACGCCAACATAGAGGAAACGTTTGGGTCGGTTGACAGGTTTCCTGGTTTCTCCGGTAACGTTTCCTCCAAGGCCGAATCCTCTCAACTCCTCTGGACCGACCTGCGGACCGCCCGGTCTCTGACAGCCGGATCAGGGACTTTACCAGCAGAGGAGTCACTGAAGTACACACACTCTGGAGATTTTTTACGTTTACTCTCCAGAACCTGAGGAACGATGAGCCACGAGGACGCCGTGAATCCAAGAAAGACGCCGAAAATCACAGTCGTCCATGATCTCCTGGACCTCAGAGCCATGGCTGTTTAAAGTAGAGGACACTGAGGACGGTTTGAATAAGTCTTATTACTCCAATCAGAGACATGCCAGAGAGGAGGCACTCATACTGCACATGCTCAGTTAGACCTTCTCCCCACAAGAAAGACAAACAAATACATTTACTCCTGCATGTTGGTATACACTACAAGTATTTTAAGCTGTCTTTTGGCAAACAGCCAGAAACTTTTATACAAATAAATCTAAACAGTCGTAGTTTGGGTGCTTGTTCTGTTGACCTCTCAGATAAACTATTCTGTCAGGTTTGATAGGATAATACATATTTAGTAATGTTGAATAAAGGTCTATCAAATTGAAAACTGTCCTACTTTTTCTGTCTAACACTGAAATATTATATAAGAGCAGCTGTTTTATTAGTACAAGGACTTCTGGTACGCCTGTATTTCTCCACTAAAACAGCTATTTGATAGTAGGTACAAGACAAATTAACAATAACATAATACTTTATGAACAAATGATACTATTTGATTGAAACTATGCCTGATGAAATGTGAAATGTTCTGCATCTTTAATAAGTTGCAGCCTTCCCCAGGACACAACAACAACATCTGGCTTCTCTGAGTCATGTTATAACGGGGTTGGTCATTAGCAGGCAGGTTTAAGTTGAATACATTAAAAACGTGTTGGTTTAGGGTTAACAGAGTCTATCCGTCCTCAGTGTCTCCTGCTCGGCTGTAGATGTTCAGAGGTGCTGACGTGGTGGACCGTTATACCTGACGCGGAAATACACACTTCACACCTTTGTTAGCATAAATGAACGGGGCTAAAGATACACTCAGTCAGTCCTCACTCTGCTGTCCCATCTGAAGCTGATCCTCATCTGAAGCTGATCCTCATCTGAACAAATGTTTTACATTAAGTTTCAGTCCTGAAAGCAGCGATGTCTCCTTCAGATGAAGATCCGGAGACATAACGTCCCAGCGAGTCTTGATGATCCTCCATCGCCTTGTTGTTGTAAATGATCATTTTAAAGATGAAGCTCGTTCAATAATAACAATAATAATAATAAAATCTCACGAGAAGCCGCCGCTGAAGCTCCTTTCATGACCGTTTAATAACCGGTGACTGTTACATCTTATCTTCTGATTTAACGGTCAGCTCATTTGTGTTCCGTTATTATCAAGAACAAGAGGACTTCCGAGAACAGTTTTCACAATAAAAGCTTCACTTCATATGCGGACACGAAAGCTTGATTTATACAGTTTCATACAGCAGCCATCTTATGAGAAATAACAGTTTATATAAACAATCGTATAATATCTTTCAAACTAGTAATCGTTGTGGATATACAAGCCTAACAGAAGTATGTTGGGGCTCTTATTCTGAAGGATTTTATTATTAGCAGATATGGGTAAGATTTTATCGCGACAAATAAAAATAAATAGACGTATTTGATTTTAAATCTGGAGAAGTTCAGATTTAATAAGAAATTACGTGTACCTTATTACTTTCCAAAAAAATTGACTATTTACTATTATTATATCTGGCAGTATGTTATATGGGTCAGCTGATTGAATGCTTTCAGTAAAAGAAACATATAGTGGATGATTATTTTAATTATTATTATTATTTCATAAAATAGGAAACACAATTAAGTCAAAGTGTATAATCGTGTTCTTAAGTTCAGGGATTTTATGAAAGCAGAGATTGATTTTGGGCAATAATGTTTTGATAATAAGTAAAGTTTGTTGACACAAATTTGAAAAGTAGCATTCAGTTTTGAGTCATTTAAATGACTAAATACTTTTTTTCTTTAATCCACAAAAAACTGAAGGTGTGTGAATACCTCCATTTGTATAAATCTTAATGATATGTAAACATACTGCTAAGAATGATTAGGTGACTTTAATGCCTCTTTATTGTTGTTGTTGAGTTTTAAAAAAGGTTTATTCTTAAATTATTTAGTATATAAATGTACTTTGCCTGCAGCAACATTTGTCTTGTTGATCATTATAAAAAAAAATAATCATAATTAATAAATCCTTCCACAGAGCTGTTGTTCAAAAAGAAGAGAACTCATAATAATTTGAGGTTTTTTGGTTGAACTGATCTGATGCTGATGGATGCATGGAGATAAAACACTACACTATATGAAGTCATGTTCTAGGTAAAAAAAGAGAAAATAAATTCTGATTCAAGTGAAGAAAATATCGATCTTATACAAGGTTGGAGGTCAGTTGTATTTGTACTTTGTGTACTGGTTTTCTTCGCCAGCAGTGGGCAGCAGAGTCAAAGTGAATCCCCTCAGCAGAGCAGTTTTAGTTTAGGTTAGTTTATTTGTTTATTGTTTCGTGGACTGTCCTCTTTAGTTAACTGTACAGTCAAAGGAGCCAGTTTTCCCAGTCAGACGTTTGGTCTGTTGACAAAATAATTAATTGCTTTTACTGCCAGAACTTTTCCTAAAGGGAATTAATGTGTAAAAATGGTTTTAGTAATAAATGTAGTTGAGGAATGTCAAATATCAAAGAGATGCACATATGTTATTGTTTTACAGTATTCAATCTGAGGCTTTCTTTTCTATTCTATGACAAATAAAACCCGGACTGGATGAACCCGTTTGTGGTCCCTGGGGTAAAATGAACTTTACTGCCCCTCCTGTCTGGCTGTATTTGATCTCCTCAAAGTTCTCATGTAGCACAAAGAACACAACAGAAAGAAAAGAAAAGAGCATGGCAGCTTTATTGTTTGCATTATTTTCTAAAACAGTTCTCCTTTACTGTAAAAAAATAGTTTCTGCCACTGTTTCTTGTTTGTTTAGAGGATAGGAAGGATACTCAAGAGGATAAGTTCAGCTACTGGTTTGGCTGAGGGGACACCCTACCTGTCACTCAAATAGGCCACGCCCCCTAATTCTACATCCCTTTAAACCTTCATATAATGTAAACAGGTGAGTTGTATAAACATTCAGGTCGCACATTTGGGTCGATGTGTGTGAGAAGCATGTCTCTCAATAACAGAGTGTAAAATCACTCTGGGATTATAAATTATCGAAAATTTGTGAAATAAAGAAATATATATGACCTATTTTCCCAAATCGGCAATATGTTTATAGTTAATAAGAAACAGGCTAATAAAACACTTGCGTAATAATAAACTGTGACGGAATGTGACAGCCCGTGATTGGCGCAGAAGCCGGTGACGTCACGCGGGCGGTCCGGTCCTTGTTTTGAGAATGGGAGAAAGTTTGTCAGTGTGTGGATGAGACTGAGTGAACACTGAGACACACAGCGGCGGTCCAGGAGCTCAGCTGGAGGTTAAGTGGACTCTGAGGAGGAAAAACTGCGACTTGAAACGTTTTCAACTTTTGGATTTATATCTCCGTTAAAGGACGGACCGATGAGCTCAGGCACAGCCGGCTTCCTCTCATAAAGAAGGTAAAGCGTTTCTCCTCGATCAGGCGGTGTGATGATGGGATCTGATCTCAGAGCTGATCATATCTGAAGAAGGGTTAGTGTTGTTACAGTACGGACAATCCAGTCTTTGAACGCATCATGGTTTTCACATTGACTTTTTTTAAGATGAAAAAGAGAAGCTTCTTCAATTTAATCTGAAAAATAAACATTTTCCTCCATCTCTACAAACTCAGACTGTGGAGGCAAAGATGGAAGAGACATTCAAATATGAACAAGACTAAAAGATGATCATTGATTTGACCTCTTCTTAGTCTGCTCAGGTGTCTTTTTAAGGTTTTAACTCTTAAAATATTAAACATTTCTTATATTTTTATATTCACATATTTGGGCGAAAGAAGTGAATAACAACAAGCCAATGAAAGAAATGAATGCGTTTCTTATTGAAATATTATTACTTTCAAAGCTTTAAAATAGTGAATTCTTACTTTTTTAGTCGCACCTCTGCTTAGCTGCTGAAAAAAATGCCAATTAATCGATCGAAAAACAATTCATTGCAAACTATATTTCAGAACTAATTGAAGTAATACGGAGTCCATTGGATGTTCCAGTCATTTTTAAATCAAAAACTTCAGATATTTGCTGTTTATCAAGCTTATTTGGTGTTAGTTATCGTGTCTTAACTCAGTATATCTGCATCAACAAATGAGCAGCTGGTTGTGTCTCTGTGTTTCTGTGTGTTTTTGTTTATCATCGTCCCAACACAGCAGCCCTCCTCTCCCAGCTTCACCCCCCCCCCCTACATATAGCAGCATTTCCATTGTGACTCATCATCCAGCTTACAGACCGACAGTTTTTAAGGCTAGAAATCACAGAAGGTCTTTTATGTTACGACAAAAAAGTCCAGCAGAACTCAGTGAAGCTGTTTGTTTTCCTGATAAAGATGCAACACAGATTCTGGGTTTGGGAGATTCTGTGAGTCATGCAAAAATTCAGCAAAATGGCCCTTTTTTATACATGGATACAGTTTGAAGTTGTGAACTCTGGTTTGTTTTGGGACATGGTGTAGACACAGTTTGGTGTGCTGGTATTTTGGCACGCTGAGATTTCCTCGACTGCAAAGCTTTGGTATCTCGAGGATCATGCTCATCGTAGGAGGAAGATTGTGGTGGAGCAGACGAGTGGTTGCACTTACACACAAGTTCTTCCTGTTGTCTCCATCCAAAACATTTTGGTCCTGAGATCAGAGATTCTTTTTTGACATGTCTGGCCAAACTAAGTATCGCCTTACAATGCAGAGAGAATGACAGAAAAACAAGTAGAAATCAGTGTGAGCAAGATTTAAATTAGAGCCTTTAACGTGCAGTCAACTTGGTAACTCCTTCTGAGAGCAGTCATTATAAGACGTGTAATCTGTGGTCATGAAGGAATGGACGCGAGCAGCAGCAAAACTCAGTCAGGCGGGTGTTAAATGAGGGTGTTAGATGGTTTCTCAGTTGGTGCTAAGGGGGCCAAAGTGTGCCAAGAGAAGTTCCCTCTCAGAGGTCTGAACGTTTGATGGATTCAGTCATGCTTTAATCTCTGACCTGAGCAGCTGAACGTTTCTGCAGACGTTGATGCTGATCAGACCTGGCAGGTTTTTCAGGTCATTACTGTCCTTGTTGTGTTCTCTTATTGTTCTGGAACGCCTGATGCAGCTCAGTTTTTTGTTTTGAGCTGACAGAAGAAGCACCAGGTGTGTTTTCTTTCTCCAGGGTTTGAAGTGTTGTCCCTACAAAGATGCTCTTCTACCTGCAAAGTCTAAAAAAAATCCCCAAATGATCGATGAAGAGCGTTTATTTCTGACTGTGACATCAGGTGTGTCTTTGAGTTATGGTTTCTTCTTCTCTTCTTTAACTGGTCTGACTTTCCCTCTTTGTACTCTGCAACCAACAAGACATTTCCACTCAGAGATCTGCTGCTGCTCACTGGATATTTTCTTTTCTTTCTCCATCACTTTGTAAACCCAAGAGACAGTTGTGGAATTTCTGGAATAATTGTGTAACAGGGTTCATAGAGGACCTCTTTGCTTCCTCAGAGTCTCTTTATGGTTTGATTTTTGTCTTTTTAGTTTCAGCTCTAATTTTGTCTTTTGGTTTTCCACATTTCTGATTTTGCGATGTGGTGATGTCTTCCTTTCTGTGCTGAAGCTGTTAAACATTTATGTTTCCTTGTTTGGGGAAACAGACATGTAGCATGAGTTGTCGACACCAAAGGGGTTATCTCAGGTTTTCAGGACTTTAGCACTTCATTTTTTTTCTGTTATTGCGTACAGACTGTAAATACGACAGACTGTCACAGATTGTGAAGTAATGAAGGAGTGGGTGAAACACCAGACTTTTTTATCCCAGAAACAATGGACTTTGGATGTCCTATTTTAGCCCAAACAAACCCTTAAACAAGGACTTTTAAAGCTAAACTAAACTGAGACCGTCTGCAAAGCCCTGAGTATACTTGCTTTTTAACAAAGTGTTAGAGAATGCATGACATCGGCCTTGTGTTTGGTGTGCAGCGTTGGTTCTGCACGTCCTCAGAAATGAACACTATCATCCACAAGATGCAATATGCATATAACCACTCGGAGCAGTGTAGAGCTGTAAGGTGATGAGAACAGAACACCCACTCCTTTAAGTTGTTCACAGTAAAAACAAGTTGAGCATTTTCTTTTTAAGATTTATTTTGGGGCTTTTTATGCCTTTAAGTGACTCGGAGTAGGACAGTGGATAGAGCCAGAAATCAGGGGGAGAGAGAGAGTGGGGCATGACACGCTGGGAGGGAGCCACAGGTCGTATTTGAACCCGAGCCGCACACTTGGATGACGGCAGCCTCCGCACATAGGGCCATTAGCACTAACCATTAGGCTTCCAGCGCCCACTACAAATCGGGAAAAACTTGTGAGGGTTTATTGTATCGCTGCTGTGTCATGTCCATCTTTCTGACATCGGATCTTAGATTTAATAAGTGTTCTTCGTGCCACTGGGGTCCTTTTACAGTCTTGAGCCGTGGACTTTCATGCATTGCAGAGTCGCTCTTTAAATCCTGCGTATATGGACCCCTTGTGATTTCCTCTCAGTATAAACATCTTTTCCAAATGCAGCACCTGTTCCTGAGAGACTCGCTGCAGAAACACCGAACAAATAAGACCCCAGAGGCTTTAACGGGGCTAATAAGTTGCACCTGCCAAAATCACACACACACACACACACACACACACACACACACACACACACACACACACACACACACACACACACACACACACACACACACACACACACACACACACACTTTCCCAGACCACCAACTGAAGTGTTGTGAGAGTGAAGCTGCGGGGAAAGTTTGTTGCCTGTCAGATACAAACATGTGAAGAACTATTTTTGGTGTCTTCTGTTTTGTAATTGGAAGATACCAGTGTGGGAAAGTGTGCTGTGGAATGAACCAGTGCTCCCAGTATGCAGCCCACACAAGAGTTCACTTTAATAAATCGTTACATACTCAGCCCGGTTTATAGGTCACATACAGACAGATTATTAAGTGTCTAAACAGTCATGGCCTCTGTCAGGATGATTGATGCTTTGGAGCTTTTTAAAATGTTGTTGCACTAAAGTTAAACCGGACACATATTTATCTGTGAGGGAATGATGCAGATCTGAAGGACTGACAGAAGTTAATATGGCAATTTAAAAATGTCAGTTGGCATTTTGACAACCTTAGTAGCCTTGTGTGTGTGTGTGTGTGTGTGTGTGTGTGTGTGTGTGTGTGTGTGTGTGTGTGTGTGTGTGTGTTTCCCCAGTGAAAGGTAGCTCACACTGCATGAGACTCACAGCTGAGTGAGTGAGATGAAAAGCCAAAACACAGCGGGGCTAACACAACGAGAAAGGCACCAAATACACACACACACAATACACACAATACACACACACAAACGCAGCTGTGTATTCTCCGACGCTTCTGTCAGCCAATCAGAAGTGGAGGATGATTTCTGACTTTAGTTGAAACTTGGTGACGTCTTCCAGTCGAGGTTGTCTACACAGAAAGTGTTCCATAAGACAGAAGGAGTTTTTTTTATTTCATTTACCCTGAGCTGCAACAACAACAATCATTAGAACTTTAATAAATAAAAATCTAAATCTAAACGACTTGGACCCTCACGTCAGAGAAGTTGTTTTCCGTTCTCTTCGTCCTCTGTAAATATGATCATGGTGTCAGTAAGTGATGGGCTCAGGCTGTCGCAGTAAACACTCTGCGGTCAGATGTGTAAACTGTAATCACACTAAGCTGAACTGTGTCAGACTTACTCCACAGTCAGCTGGACGACTTCTTCATCAGCTTCAGCTGTTGTTATTCAGACACGACCAAAGAGAGGCGATGGGAAACACACTTTCACCCACTTCTCTCATCAGACACCCAGGAACCGAGGAAGACACAGAGGAGGAAATACAGTCAAGAATTACAAACAAGTTTAAAGACAGAGCTTGTTCCTTCAAAATAAAATACAGACTTCTCCTAAAGTGAAGCTGCTCCATCGTCCCTTCTGGGCCTCCATACATGTGTGGTGGTGTCTGTGTCTGCAGAGACTCTGTCCTCTGACTGGATTTTACTGTTCTGCTTTGTTCTGGTTGAGTCGGGAAGTTTCTGGGCAGAGCTGGTGTGTTTCCTCCACTCAAAGAAGAGAAAATATAATCACAGTGAGGAGAAACACCTCGATAAAGCTTGTTCTAAAAGGAGGGTGAACCTTGTGTTGTCTTTTACCCGTGGACGTGGAGTTGGTCTACTTCCTGTTGGACAGGCAGGTGACAAAGGCCGGCGGTTAGCTTGTGCTAGCGTGCGTTAGCTTGCAGTTTAGGTACAAGCAGTAAACGTACACACTACTTCCTGCAGGGAGGGTGATCTCATTTGATTTGACTTCATCCTTTTCTGTAAAAACATCCGTTCTGATTCTGGATTCAGGCCTCGTCAGCTCAGTGATCACTTCACACGTTTAACACTTCATCGTTTACATAAAGAAAAGACTGTACAAAGAGAAGATCACAAATGTTTCCACATTGTACTGTGGCAACATCTCGATGCTTCCTGCAGGCGTCAGGACCTGCATGTGTCCTCAGATAGATATGAGTACTCGGCCCTGAGAGCGGCCTTTGTTGGGTCCTGGAGGGACTTCAGACGCTGGTCTCGGTTCCTGGCAGCTCTGTGTGAGTGGACAGAGCGGCGTCGACGTTGCGCTGCCTGGAACTGTGTATCAAAGTGGAGCAGCCCGATCTAATCCCTTCCATTAGGGTTTGTGTGTCTGCAGCCCTTTCACACACAGCATGCTCCTTGTTTGTGCAGCGGTGCAGTTGTCCCGTGTGGGTGGGTGGGTGGGGGGGGGGTTTCGGCGTTGGTGGCTGCAGCTGTGCCCCCTCTTTGCTCAGTGAAACCAGAGAGGACGGGCCCTGCTTGCCCATAAAGCGCCTGCACAGACACACTGTCAGCAGACACACACACACACACACACACAATGGAGACGACCTGCAGGCTTCTCCATCAACCAACAGTTTCCAAAAGAGGAGAGGGAGGAGACGCAGAGTGATGAAGTGGATCTGGTTCTTTATTCAACAGCTGCTTCTGTGTCATTAAGGAAGAAGAGCAGACACAGACACAGCAGATAAAGCCTAAGAGATCTAAATCATGCTTTCATACTCGATCTGCACCGAAAACTTTATCACGTATTAAGTGGTGGAAGGACAGGACGAGGCTGGAAAACACTCAAAAGTCTTGAGATGTGTTCAAACAAAAAGCAACGTGGATATTTGCACGGCTCAGTGACCCACAAAGCCTCATTATCGAGGCGGTTTGTTGAGACACTGACGTGCTCTGCTTTATGCTTGTGACATCAGTCATGTGAATAGATTGTTTTAATTTGTGTCCGGGAAGCCTGACAGCGTTCAGAGTCTCATTAGGATTGTACGAGGAACACTGAGCCGGTTTATTGTCATGAAAGTCATATTGGTTTATTTTGGACTCATGTTGCTAACAGGTCAACAAACTCAAGGACCTGGTACTGATCGTAGTTAACAGGTCATCAAGCTGGGACCTGGTACAAATCCTTGACCTGTAAAACCAAAGCCGATAAACGAGTCCTACAAGTAACCCCAGAAATAAAAACTTTAAAATCTCAGTAAATGCTTTAAGTAACTTCTCTAAAACCACTGAGCCATCTGTAGACGACAAACTGCTCAACGATAACGTTTTCAGAGCTTGTTTTCCTTGTTTGCGTCCTCAGTCTCTGTCAGGTGATGTGACAGGACTACTGATGCTCAGGATGTTTTGTTCGGAAGTTGACCGAGCAGTATGCTCCGCTGAAAGACGGAGAGAAACTAACGGGGGGCTGGATGTAGGAGGCAAGGGGTCAGGTTTTCTGCTTCCTCCTGAAGCTCCTTCATTATGCTTCTGTTTGCCAGAATGTTCTTCTCCGCTCCTTTGTTTACACCCTGCATGTCATGTGGCATTGTTGTGAAGGCAAACGCTGTCATCATGGCGTCAGACTCGGTTGCTTCGTTCAGTCCTTCTTTCCCCCTGAGACCCCCGCCTCCCCTCCCAACTGGGGAAACCTCACACTGTGAGTTCAGAGAGATTTTAAAGGCAGCCTGCTGAATTTTCTCGAAGTTTTCAGGAATGTGTTTCAGTCTGAGGAAGAGCGTGTTGGCTCGAAACATCACATGTCAGGACATGTCAAGACAGTAAACACTGCTCACAATAGAAACTCTGACTTTTAATTCCTTCAAACCACAAGATGCTCGAGAAGGTCTGTGATCAGCCGACGGTTACTCACACATAAACTCTAAACACACAACATCTGCTCAACCTGTGGGGAAATGTGTTACAAATATGCACAGTGGATTTTCACATTTCCCTTTTCTGTTTCAGTTTCCTTTCAGGAGAAAAGTAAAGCTGCTGTCCTGTAGTTTACTGTAAATCTTCATAAGAAGTTTTCAAAGAGCTGAATGTCACCAGAGATCTGCAGAAACACCAACACTCTGAAGTCGTGTCATTGTTCTGAACAAATGAGCTCAGCTGTGTGAGAGAGAACTGCCTCTTTTTATGTTTGAGGTTTTAGTGGTTTGAACCGTGTTGAGTCCAGTTGATTATATGACCAATATTTGTTTTAATCAAACAATAATGCAGCAACACAACACCGGACATGTAAAGGTTACTGTGCCACTGATTCATTCTCTTTTTTTTCCTCTCAGTGCAAAATGATGTAGACATTTTTGGATGTTTTGAAGATTTTGACAACCTTGATGACCAATGCAATCAGAAAGAATAAAAACCTACTTATTCAGGCAGCTGTGGCTCAGTGGGTAGAGTTAGTGGTCTTTCAACCGGAAGGTTGGGGTTCAATCCCCTGCTCCAGCAGCCACATGTCCACATGAATGTTTCAAGTTACTTTCACATTCATGTAACAAACATTTTAAACTGAAAACATTTTCAGTGTGAGCGGCATGTTGAACACAAACACATGATCAGGACTTTCTCCTGCCGGCTGCCTGCTAAGAATTTCTGTGTGAAATCAGGATGAACTGAGCAGCTGATACAGTCTTTATGGGTGTAATAAAACAGAGTCAGATACTTTCTCTTTTTAACAGCATGATTTTTTCCACTCTCTCTCATTGTTAATGTGAATACTTGTATTTACACTAAACATCGACTTAAAGGCAAAAAACTGTCAGCTTAGCAAAAGGACTCTGTTCCTTCGTCTGCCATCTTGGATAAGTTGTAAACATGTTATCGTCTGCCTGGGGACAACATGTGGAAATTATGTAGTTAGCTAAATCTGGTACAAAGCATCACATAAACGAATGAACTAAACATTATTAAGGTCCCATCTCTCCTCCTGACCCCCTCTCTTCCCCCTGGCAGAACTTCACACTGTGAGGGACGTGTGTGAGAGAAACTACAGACTTAAATGCGTTATTAAGTTTATTTAATTTGTGTTGTGCTCGATATGACGAAGGCTTCATAAGAATCTGACCTGATGTACTGACTAAGGAGCTCAAAGCAAAGCCTTTCAAACACTGACTTCCTTCCAACTTTGCATTTAGATTAAAATACACATGTCTTGTGAAAGTGATTAGAAATTAACTTTTGTTTTGTGTCTTGATACTTCATGACCCAGCAGTAAACTTGTGTCTCCTCTTCCTCTCCCGTGTGCAGGTGCAGCCGCTCTGTCCGAGATGGGCATGTCTCCGCGCTGCCACAGGACCGTCCTATTGGCTGTGTCCTTCTGCTTCCTGCCCTGCATCACTTCCTCCCTCAACCTGGAGGACCCGAACGTCTGCAGCCACTGGGAGAGGTCAGTCACAGGATGCTTTCTTTTTTCATATCAGGGGGGCTGTGTCCCAAAACGGAAATCAATTTACTTATTATTTCTGTTCCTGGGAGAAAAATGAGCCGAAAGATAAAACATCCACCTCTTCATAGATCATGTCTTACCGCTCTTCAATATCCTCAGGTTGTCAAAAATGTTTGATACTTTCTGATACCACGTGTTTTAAACCTTGACAATCCGTTGTTTTAAGTATCAAAAAGACGTACTGACGCTTTAAAAAGCCATCAGACAGGAGGGAATCAACACTTCAGATGATTTTGCAGCACTCCTGGTTTGATTGCAGCATTAAACTTATTTAATAAAGGATCTAATTCCTGTATCTTTACATTTCTGTTGGTAAACAGGAGGAACAACAGAAGTTCTACGGGGATAGATCTTTAAAGCCATTAGGGGGTATATGTAGGGGTGTTTAAAAAAGTCAAATTAATCCGATTTTCTGAACAAAAAAGCAGCTTGGAAACACATTAAGCAACTTGTAAAAAAAGAAACGTGGAGGGAGATTTCTCAGCTGTATTCCTTTCACTGACTAATCTGAAGAAACAGCTGCAAACACGCTCTGCGGCGCCGACTGTGACCGACGACAGAGAGAGAGAGAGAGAGAGAGATTGAAACGTTACGTTGGTGTGTCTGCGTAACTCTGCAGTACTGTACGTCTACAAACGCTAGTTAGCAGTCCGACTTCTATGCTTGCTATATCACCACACTCTCTGCTTGTTTGAGTTCAGGTAACCATGGCAACCCAAACTGAGCGTATTATGTGGAGATGGAGCTGATAGCAGTTGATGATTCTGCCTCGTAGCGTTCTTCCTTCTGCATAATTTTCTGATCGGCGGCAATATGTTGTAAATTAAGGAAATACGATGCTACCCAGAGGACCAATCACAGAGCTTGTGGTCTTTGTGGTTTCGAGGGGTCATTACATTTTTGAGGAGGTGCACGGCAGGTTAAGCTCCTGCACAGCGCAGATTCAGCACATTAGTATGAATCAGGTTTTAAAATCAGGCGGGATAAATTCAACCCACTCACCTGAGAATAACTTTGTAATCAGACTTTCAAAATAAAATGAAAGCTATGATTCAAAAAAGGAAAAAAACATCAGTCTTCATTTCTGGTTTCACATTTTTAAGAGTTCTTCTGGCCCACGGCTCAGACTGACAATCAGCTGTGACCAATCAACTGTCTCTGTTTATTTCTATATTTGGAATCCAAATTAAAATATCTTCATGGAAAAATTAACTTAAATAAAACCGTTTTCAGACATTTTCAGAACCCGTATAATTCAACTTTTCAGGCTCAGCCATTTTAGAGACCTCTTAGGGAACTTTTAAAAAGCAGTATTCCCCCTCTCTTAAAAATGTTCAATTATATCCTCCTCTTCTCCAACCAGTGTAAATAAGTCTCAGAGCTCTTTTTTTTGTTTTGTTCTAAATCTACTCTGATCCTGTATTTGATCATGCCTATAAACCCCTCTATTTCAGCCCTGCTCAGAACAGGCTGTTTCTGTGTCTGTACCTTTAAATATGTAAATGAGCTGTGTCTGACCACGCCCCCTCTCTTGAAGGGCTTGGATGTACTCAGGCTCTCTTGCTCCATGTCCTATTGTTTACAGTGAGAAGGCAGACTCAGAGGGCAGAACAAACACCTCGCTGTGGGAGTGTCACCCACCTGGGGGAGGGGTTACTGCCCTTTGTGATGTCATGAAGGGAAAATCTCCAAACGGCCTGTTTGAGCACACATTTTCTGAAAAGTGGAGCAGGCAAAAGACGGAGAGGATGGACTTTTCTCATCATTGGGGGGTTTGTAGACAGACCAGGGACACATAAGAGTAACAGAAACATGGTGAAGTGTGTGTTTCATCATATGTGGCCTTTAAAATATCAATAAAAGAGAAGTTTAGGTAGCCTGGTGGTCAGTCTGCCTGGGATGGTTATGACATTATAGCTAACCATCAAATCCACTATGGAGAACATGAACGTGATCTTTACTGGAGGAACCTCACTGTTGAGCTCTGTTGCTTTCAGACACTCCTGGCTGCATTGCACGTTGCATTCAAGCAACAAAAAATAAAACTGTAAATATGAGTGTTGTAGTTGTTTCACTGCAGTCTTAGGAAGTACAGTAACAATCACAAACTGTATATCTAAAGAAGAGAAACTTTTACGGCCCCTGAAATAAATGTTGGGTTGGCAGATATGGAAAATGATTCCGGTCAGAGAATCAGGACAGGAGAGAGGATTCACAGCTCAAGGGTTTTATTCCGTGACGAGCACGTAGATTTACATAGGCCACTTCGAACAAAGGAGATTGGCATAGCTTGTGTCTTGTGTCTCATTCGTGGTTCCGTGTAGTTATGAGGATCAATCTACGTATCTTCATGTGTATGTATGTGTGTGTGGTTTCTTTTTTGCATTAAAACACAAACATATAACTTAAATGTCCAGGCTTCTCCTGCAGCTGCTCTGCTGTTCCTATACTCTGCTCTGCAGCATGTAAGCCACGTGCTTTATACGATCCGAGCTCGTTACGTGTCTGAGCAGGCTCGTTAACTCTAGTCAGGCTTTCTCACACCCCCGAGGACCCTGTGGTAAGACCGGCTCACAAGGGAGTCATAAGGTACCTATGTCACCACCTCCTCCCCCTCCCCCTCATCCATGAAGTTTTTATGAATTCCCTCCGAAACACAATCATTAAAATCTTTCTTTAATACAAACTGATGACAGGCAGGGCCACACAGAGTGATGTGGGGGTGGCACACAGGGAGTCAGGGGCTAATCCTGCATTAAACACACACACACACACACACACACACACACACACACACACACACACACACACACACACTCAAGCAGCTTAATGATATCCTGACATTCAGAAATGGTGTTAATTGGAGACGGAGCGGAGGTGTGTGAGGGTCTCCCCCTTCAACAATGTGCTTTGTTATGTCATGTATACACACACACACACACACACACACACACACTGTCTCTCCTCAGCCGATGAACGTTTCTTCTTTAAACTCACTCTTCTCAGTCTGATTTTCTCTCTTTGTATGTTTTCAGTTACTCGGTGACGGTGCAGGAGTCGTACGCTCATCCCTACGATCAGATCTATTACACCAGCTGCACCGACATCCTCAACTGGTTCAAGTGCACCAGACACAGGTGAGGACACACACATGCATACCCACATACGCACACACACACACACACACACACACACACACACACACACACACACACACACACACACACACACGCACACGCACTTTCCCAGACCACCAACTGAAGTCCACACACACACAGGTCCAAGTGAACATACAAAGGTGAGGACACATTCAGGGGAGAACACATATCATTCCCACCTGAGGCTGATGAAGAGGAGTTGTTTTTTAAAGGACCCTTCCTCTGATTTTATGCCTGTTAACTTCCTTCCTTCCTCATCTCTCACTTAAAGGATTAATCGACGTCAGAGCTGAAACCTGAGATTTTAAAAATACGATGAAGTAATCTGTGGTTACACATTCATTAAGGTTTGGGTTTCATTAATAAGTCATTTTACAGACAGGTGTGTCCCCTGTTTTTAAAGGTGAGCGCCCTGAAGGTAACACGTTTCAGCCAATCACAGTCTGTGAGTGTTGAGCTGCCTCTGTAAACAGACTCAGGTCTGTGCACTAGAAGAACCCGCTCACATTTTCTTTTTAATTTGTCTTGTATAAATGTCCTTGAATTTGCACCACCTCTCGACTGCACATTAATCTCCTCGAGTCGACCCCGACAGCGCTGGTGGTCCCATTGAATAAAAACACTCTAACTTTAATCTAAAGCTTTGACATGTTCAGAAAACTTCCAGCCCCCAAAAAAGTATCAAATGTAATAATTTACATAAAGGTATTGAATAATTGTTATAAGATTAAAATTAAAAAGAAACAATTGTTCTAACGTATATTTCCATAAATTAAAGCCTTCGATGATTCATTCAGTTTGTTAGACTTCAAAGAGGCCACATGCATCGCTCAGTCATGATGAACTTTTAAACTGTGTACAGTCGATGCTATCGGCTCTGCATTAGCTGCTTCTTTAGTGTCACACTGAGAGGAGAGATCAGCTGAAGTAACACTTTAGTTCATATACAGTTACAACAACGATGCATTAACACATTCCTGAACTGATCTTTATAACACTTAATGAAATAATCACACTGCAACAACACTGTGATCATATAACATAGCAATACTCTCCTGCATGTCATGTCTGAGCTCTGACATCACTTCCTGTGTGCGTGCAGGGTGAGCTATCGGACGGCGTACCGAAGAGGAGAGAAGACGATGTACCGGCGGAAGTCTCAGTGCTGCCCGGGCTTCTTCGAGAACGGAGAGATCTGTGCCCGTGAGTATCTCAGAGACTGGAAGTCATGGTCACATGAGAGAGAGAGATGTAACAGCTGTTTCTGGATAACAAAAAACTCTCTCTCTGCAGGGATCCTTTCTGTGATGATGTCACACTTAGAATAACAACCGGAGCCTGTTTACCTGCTGCAGGCGTTACAGTCTGTTTACCTGCTGCAGGCGTTACAGTCTGTTTACCTGCTGCAGGCGTTACAGTCTGTTTACCTGCTGCAGACGTTACAGTCTGTTTACCTGCTGCAGGCGTTACAGTCTGTTTACCTGCTGCAGACGTTACAGTCTGTTTACCTGCTGCAGGCGTTACAGTCTGTTTACCTGCTGCAGGCGTTACAGTCTGTTTACCTGCTGCAGGCGTTACAGTCTGTTTCCATGCTGCAGGCGTTACAGCCTGTTTACCTGCTGCAGGCGTTACAGTCTGTTTACCTGCTGCAGACGTTACAGCCTGTTTACCTGCTGCAGACGTTACAGCCTGTTTACCTGCTGCAGACGTTACAGCCTGTTTACCTGCTGCAGGCGTTACAGTCTGTTTCCATGCTGCAGGCGTTACAGCCTGTTTACCTGCTGCAGACGTTACAGTCTGTTTACCTGCTGCAGACGTTACAGTCTGTTTACCTGCTGCAGACGTTACAGTCTGTTTACCTGCTGCAGACGTTACAGTCTGTTTACCTGCTGCAGACGTTACAGTCTGTTTACCTGCTGCAGGCGTTACAGTCCGTTTACCTGCTGCAGGCGTTACAGCCTGAATACATCTTTTAGTTAGTTAGACCCCAAAGTTCTTTAAGAAAACAAACCAAGGTGAATGTAAGTAAGTCAGGAATGACTCTTAAATAACTCCAACATTAGAAGCTTTGTGTGGCTTCATCTGTCTTTTCATTTAGAAATAAACAAATGTTTTGGTTATGAAAGGCTTCACAGTATTTCTTATTATGTGTGGCAGGCAATCTGACTGCATCCTCTGAAAGAGGTCCAAATTTAACCACCCAAATAATCCGTTGAGCGTGCGATCTGTCTCCTGCAGTATCTGTGAGACGCTCGGAGCACCATGTGATCCCTCCTTATACAACAGAGTCTTTTCACACCAAAATGAATCCCTCTCTGAACTTCTACAGCTCCTGCCTGGATACTGTGAAGTGCTCACACATTCTGAGTTTTTATCAGCGACCACCTCCTCGTCACGGCAGCAGGCGGTGTGTGAGCATAATACTTTCTTTTACTGACGTTGAGCAACAACAGTTGTGGCTTCACACCTGTTAGCGCCTGTTGGCTACTGACAAGGAGGGGGTGGACGGACAGTAACCTCATGTGTGCAGAGTGAGGTCGACACTGTAGCAGCACAAAACACAGGTACTGTGTATGTCTGGAAAGTGACAGGAAACCGATATGAGAAGAATAATCGATAATATAGTTAGGTAGTGTGATAACTGAACGGTGATGTGTGATGAATAAACAAAGATTCAATCAGAATCAGAATCAGCTTTATTGGCCAGGTATGCTTAAACACACAAGGAATTTTACTTTGCTAAACTGTGCTCTCTTTGTACAAAGGTATAATATTAAATATCAACAATAAACACAAAAATAAACAAATGAGCAAAGACTAATATGTACTAGGCTAAATAGGATGATATAAGATAATAGTGCAGTGGTGAGTAGTGCAAAGATGCTGAAGTAAACATGAGGTAGTTTTTACAGTATTTACATTAAAAAGTGTGATCATTTAGATGAAATAATATATGTATATTCTGCTAAGAGAATTGTAACATTGTATAAAGAGTGTCTTTACCTCACAGCTTCTTTGCCTGCCTCATGTTTTAGGAAATACCTCAACAAGCCCCTAAATCTGGGCCAACGGTATCCTAGCGTCTTGGAGAGCGGGCCGCCCGGGTTCAAATCTGACCTGTGGCTACTTTCAGGCCTCCCTCCAGCAGGTCAAATGTTTGCATGCTGAGTGAGAAAGCATGGCTCGTTAACAGGACATAATTTTTCTTACCTTTTTGGGATAAATCCATACTTTTGAGATCCATTTATTAGCAATGCTCCTACAATGATAACGATAAATTTGCCGGTCATTGCACATCTATGTGACAAGTGTCCTCTGCACAGAGAAGCTGTTTTTAATTGTTCTTATTTAAAGTGATAAATCCAGACTTTTGAGATGATGGCATGGTCCTGTCATGAGCATGATATAAGCTGTTTGTAATCAAACGTTTCTGCGTCTTTACAGACAGATTTCTAGTCCTCTCGTCGGTGTGGTTGAAGTTCCTGTTTCTCACTCGAGCTTTGGATTTTCTGCCCGTCTGTATTTCTGATTTAGTCTTTTGTGTTCCTGTTGTGTCGTGTTGCCTGCAGATCTAATTTCCTTCAAGATAATAATAAAGTTGAAGTTGAACATTGTTGAGTTGCTTTTGGTTGAGCGCGGATGATCTCACCTGCAGGAACACTTTGAAACGATGCCCCTGTTAAAAAAACCCTCAACAGTCTTTGTAGACAAACCAAACCTGAGACCTCCGAGAAGAAACCTTTTTCCATTTGCAGTCACGCTTAAGACAAGTTCAGAGGACTGAAAATCTGTCTGCTTTGATGTTTTAAACCCTCAACATATAGATCATAAATGAAGACGGCAGTGAAGGAGGTCATCAGGGTCGTCAACCGTCCTCATCGGGGTCGTCTTAACGAGGAAAACACAACTTTTAAAAATCTGATTAAACCGTGCTGCTCAGATTTTAAGAGCCGGAGGGAAAGATTGTTTCTGACCTGACTGACACGCTCTTAACAAAGTGGTCACATGGAAATCTAAAGTAGGACAAGTTTCAAACAAAAAAGAAAGCAGAGTGTTGAGTCGCTGAAATGCAGATGTAAATGTTTAAAAGTTGTGTGTGTCTGTCCTGATCCGTGTCTTCCTGTCTCTTCCTCCAGCTCACTGTGAAGAGAGCTGCGTTCATGGCCGCTGCATGGCCCCCAACACCTGCCAGTGTGAGCCGGGCTGGGGGGGCTCCGACTGCTCGAGTGGTGAGTCGTGCAGCTGCTGCTTTCTGTCTGTGCACCGTTAAAAGAGAGACTCTGGTTTTTCTATGAAAGTCTGTGAACCAAAGAGGGAAAACAGGCTGCGGTGTCATCTTACCGACCTCTGGACTGTCCCTGATACACACACACACACACACACACACACACACACACACACACACACACACACACACACACACACACACATTGTTTTTGTTGTTGTTTTGGATGCTGTTCCACATCACCTGTCTCCATCCAGAGACATTCATGTGTAGGATTTGGTCTCTAGAAGGTTTGTCACAATCAGTGGTGATTCTAGAGTCCGTTGGGGTGCTAGGCAAAAATCAATTGGGGGGGGGGGGCTCCACCCGATGTTCAGCAGGGCAACGAGAATGAGTGCTGTCAGATGGGGATTAGAAAAAAAATATACAAGCTCAAGCCCATCTACCATTTACCATCCTACATTTCCAATCCCCAACAATGTCTCTTTGCCAGATCCGACCACGCCTTTAAAACTCCATCTCCTGGTTTAATTCGGGTTTCTGTCTACGATCAAACGCTCCTCAAGAGCCGCAGAGAACAACGTGTACTCACAGGCTGAGCGGTCTGAAGCATGCATGACCAGTAAAATTAACATGTGGCCTTTAAAGCGTCAGCAGATAGGACACGTTAGCTTCTTTCATTGTTCCTGCTTTTTTTTTTTTACATCAAAATCCCTCTCTCTACTAAAATACTAGTTAAAGTAGTAAACGTAAGAGGCTGATGTTGGACAGTTTCAATGCAGCTCTTTAAAAGTTCTTGAGTTTTGTTGTGAGAAATGTCTCAGTTACGGTTTCTACACCGACTGCCGTCTCTGTTTTGGAGAGTGCAGCACGTTTACAGTTTACACTTTGAATGATTCCTCTAAGTGACTCTGATGTCCTGCAACAGGAAGTGTAGAAACGACGAGCAGGTGGTCGGCAGTGAGGGCAGCAGCTGATGGCGGTCGGTCTGCAGAGGACATGTGTGTCCGTGTCATGGCTCATGTTGACGTTTGAATGAAGGACTGAACTGTTAATGAGCTTCTGTGCAGACTAATCTAATTTAAACGCACCGTCAGTCTTGTCTAAGTGCTAACTGAGATCACCACATGGTCACTTCTGGGTTCAAAAAGCCAAGACGATGATTCCCTGAATACCTTATTCATGGGCTTCTTTTTGTTTATTCTGTAAGTTATGCTCCAACTTAGAGATGCATGATCAGAAAGTAAGGAAGGATTTGGGGCGGGGCTACCTGTGATTGACAAGTCATCAACACAGCAAGCTGACAAATGTCTCATTTGGTGTTCACTTGTTCTAAAAATCACCCTGAAGGGTGGGCTGTGATTTTTTTAAGTACTTAAAATTTGTTAAAGGTCCAACCAGTAAAACCATAAAGTGAGCTTACTATATGATCAGACATTAAGGAAACATGCTATGTTGAAGTGCTGGCTTCTCTGACAACAATGCAGCAGCCAGTATGTCCTCCTTCTAACTTTAGATTCTGGTCCTGAATGATCTGGATTTGTTTGGACTAGAGAAGGTAGGCGGTTTTAAGACACACCCACACGGCCGTTTTGGATGCCCCTCGGTTTGCCAGATATGAGAGCAGTTATCAGGTCAACAGGTGTTGCAGTGATGGAAGCGGGCAAGAGAACTGGTTCAGATAGAAGTGATTGTACCCGACCTAAAAAGCCTCTGCATGTTTCTAATAAGCTCCACGAGCAGAAACGTGCTCAAACTAGGATCAATATTGGAGATGCTTTTGAAAAATGGAGAGAGGTTAGAACACAGAAAGGTTTACAGACCGATGCAGAGCTGGATAAACACTGAAGCTTCAGTGTCCACAACATGGCAACCTACGTGAACATGGACTCTAGAGAGGAGGGGGCGGGGGGAGACAGCTCTCTATGATGTTTAGAATTTAGACTGCAGTACTCAGTACCTGACATTCGCAACATTGACTCTCTCCCCATCTTCAAATCCAGACTCAAAACCCATCTTTTCAAGATCACCTACTCACTCTAACATTTTAACTGCAATTACACTGTCCTACATTTAATTTGTTTTATTGTATGCTGTTTTTATCCATCGTTGTTTTTTAAATGTTGATTGTTGTACAGTGTCCTTGTGTGTCTTGAAAGGCGCTTATAAATAAAATGTATCATTATTATTATTACTCATTTTAAACACAGGTGTCAGAGTTACATATTGCTCCTTTAAATCCTGATTTTAGCTAGCAAAAAAAAGGATGCATCTTGCTCACGAAGCTACTGTAAGAGCTACATGAATCCCTTGCACCTCCTCCCCTTTGTCCTTATATGGTCGGTTCTGGGTCAGACAAATCCAAGATTGTGTTGGAAAAGTGCCAAATTTCAGGCCTCTTTTTGTTCGTTTGGTAAATTACGCTTCCATTTAGAGTCAAATAGCAATAAAGCTGTAGAGGATTTCAACTGGTCTACAAGGGATTGACAAGTCAGGACAAGGGTGACCCAAAAAACTGCCTTGTTTGGAGTCGGCCGTCCATTTTTCAGGAAGTACATTTTGTTTCAAGCCTAGCATCACAACTATAACGACAGATGCAGTAAAGATATGATGCGCGTGCTAACCAAGCTAGTACTCGCATTAGTTCATGACTTACTGCTTGCTTCGCTTCTTCTCAGCTCCACCCTCTCGTCCAAATTTGGTCAATTCGGGTCCAAATGACCAAGATGGCGATGGCTTAAACGCGAAACTCAATGCCTTGAAGAGCGTAGACCAAAAACCAATGGGTGACATCACGTCTACTTCATAATCATGCTCATTAATTGTTCTGAGGAGCCCTTTGATGTTTTAAATGGTTTGAAATCGAAATCTGCAAAGAAGCAGCTGCCGATGAAGACGGGGAAGTCCTCGCTCGTCTCGCTCGTCTCCATTGGTTCATCGGCCAACACTTTGAAGCGCTCGGATCTCAGACCAGCTCATGTCTTCGGGCTAACGTTGTCTCTGTTTATCTGACACACATGTAGCCTCAGCTCATCGTCACATTAAGCCTGTCGTTTGTGTTAATAACTGTTTGGTTGAAACACGAGCTCCCGTCTTGGCACCGAGCATGCAGACACTCTCTGTGTGTGCGATGGAGGTTATTTTAATGTGTCTCCAGCAGCAGACCTATGTGCTGATAAGTATGAGCAGTCCACAGGGTGTTCCCCCCGCCGCCTTCACTGTCAGTCTGTAATAAAGAAGCTCATTGTTGTGTCTGAGCTCTCCTGGGTCCCACCAGGCCGGCCTGTCTGTCTCCTCTCTGCAGGAGCTAAATGAAAGTGTGAATAACGCAGACACTCAATACTTTATACAAGAAATACAAAGATGGGATTTAGGAACCAGGATCTGAGTTTTATGTTGACTTCTGTTGCTGAGTTTTATACAGGTCATTACCATTCTTTATGCATTGGTGAAAATTATGTTAGCTCGGTTTAAACAGAGAAATACATGACAAGAAACACAAAGTAAAGAACAAAAGGAAAGACTGGTGGGGGGGAAATAGTGACAATAGTCGACTCACCACGCTCCACATACCACAAATGTTCACATTTTTCCCGATCTAGTTATTCTGACACCTTTTGACGGTCTACGTCAGGATGAAGAACTCTACCTGATATCTTTTTGGTATTTTAAAGGAATTCATGTGAGACATGTCCCACATAAATAAATCAGAAATCCAGTCTATCCTGTGTAAATGTGTCTCTGAGTCATGACTGTCTACAATGAGGGAGAAGCTCGAGTCCCGCTGGCTGTGTTGTTGTCAGAGCCGTGTTTACATGGACGGGACGGCCGGCTCCTCCCCTTGTGTATAAAAGCTGTTTTAGTCAAGGACTAGAGAGAAGAAGAACATACTCACTGATTATTTGGATGTTAGTAAGAGTTTTTAGATCACGCTCATTCTGTGTTAGTTTACATGCAATGTGAAGCTACAAGCTAACTAAAGAGCGCTAACATTAGCATGCTAACAAAACAATGCAGACCACAGGAAATGTGAAGCTACGAGCTAATTAAGAGCACTAACATTAGCATGCTAACACAACAATGCAGGACACAGGTGATCGCAGCTCGAGCAAAGTACAATTTTGTCCGCCGCTTGTGCTAATCTGCGTGCGAATGCTAGTGGAGGAGAGCAGAGGTTTCAGTATGGAGGAGATGTGGCCAAACAGCAGTTTGTTTTGGTTTCATGCTGGAGCTCGAGAACGACATCTACTGGATCACAAAGTCGCACATTCTTCCCTTAACCCCCAAATCTGTAAAATAAGTATTTAATATAAAAGATCCCAGAACTAAACTGGAGGTTTTCTGAATGTAAATGATGCCTGATGTCCGGAGCCCCCCACCCTAGCTCTAACGTTTCAGGTTACTCATCCTTAGTGTCTCTTAATCTTAATCTCTTCCTCCTCTGAAGCCACTGTCTGTGTCTCACAGACAATCAGTCAAAGATCAATACGAGGCTGACGGACCACCAGAGCTTTCCTTTATTACTTTGAATGTGTGACAGAGCGGCTAAGAAGCTGGTCCCGTGTTTAAAACTGAAACCTTTAGATGAAATGTTTGTTGATTAAAGAGGAAAGAAGATTTACATCAACCTGACTGAAGTATAATCTTTAGTTGAAATGTTTCTTAAAGTGTGTTTGTGTCAGAAGATGTGGAACATATCGGGTCACTTCCAGCATTCATGCACCGTTCAATAACACGTCTTTAATTTCCTGAAGAGCCAGCGAAGCCTCTGATGCATTGACTGTGTTTTACAGGTCAGCGGGCCCCAACAATATGTCTGAGGATCAATTTAGGGGGCCGAGAACAGGAAACGGGGGAAGTGGGCCTGTGTTGCGGGGGGAAGCAGGAATAACATAGGGGATAAAATAGTGTGGTAGAAAATGACCCGGGGCGATGGAGCTTGTGATTTAGTACACATGATGGCAACACAAGACGCTCAAGAGGCCTGAAGTTCAGCTGTGAGAA